TAACAAATGAGACAAGAGGCTCTTATGTTGCTAGGACAACTTGTCTCTAACTCTGCAGCTTCTGCTTAGTTGTTGGTCCTGTGTTTTACTACACATCAGGAAATTGATGAACTATTATTTGACATGAATTAGTGATTTCTACTCAACACATAATGAAAGTTCTAAATACATTTAAGTGCACCAGTGAGATCTTTAGCAAACTAATGTAGGTGTTTGGTTTTAAAGATTTCAGTCAAAATATCATTCTGTGACTATAGATTAGCTTATATGTGAGGAGACACTGGTGACTGACAGTGAAGTATTCCTTCCTCTCCGTCCGACATTCACGAACACGTTTTAAAAACGACATAAAGAAACGACACCACACAAGAGTTTAAGGTCATATTTTCAGGAATGCTTTTGCTCGATTTTTTTCTTTGCCAATGTTAACTTGTTTTTTTGGTCAGTTTTCTTTTTTGAACTAAAATTGTCTTTTTTTTCCTCCAAGATCCAATTGCAATATTTTTTTTTCCTCCACTTTTCTTCTCTTTTTTTTTTTTCTCATCGTCTTCCAAGCACCCCATTCCTCCATCTTTATTGGCAAAAGCAAACATGCTTGTAGATTAGAAATCCATTTTTACAAACAAAATACATGAAGAAAATACATCCACACCCTGCAAATATAAACAGTTACAAATCCAAAACTATTATCCAATAAACATTTTACATTTGTTTTTACACTAGTGTGATAGTAGCATACAGGAGATAGTACAAAAAAAAGTGGGAGAGAGACCACCTCTGTATCGAGAACCCTGCCAGTATCAGTCTGTCCTTTAAAACTGCCACGAGCAAATCAAGAATTCTGAAATGCGAAGGGAAAAGTTTCAGCTTTTCATCGCAAACCTAAACACCTCATTCCAACAGCGATGGTGAACTCACAGGTTTTACTGGGAGAGGGAAGTCAATGGCAAGAGGCTTCGGAGCTGTGCGACAACAGTGAGATATGAAATCCAAACAAGAGCACTACCATCACAGTAGGTGGGAGGAAATGAACTATGAACTATATTCACATGCAGGCAAAAATACTCACAGATTCCTGCCTGCACAACTGTAAAAGAGTGAGACGGCTACAGTAAATAATGTCTCGCTGTGGTTCAGTCTGACTGGTTACTTCACCGGATACAATCCGTCTACTTGAGTTATGATAAGAATACAACAAACGACACTTCATTAGGCTGCGTGTAAACGTTGTTAGTTGTTTGAGGGAAGCAGTAAAAGAAAAAAAAAAGCGTCATCTTGCATTGAACACATGTACATTTGATTTTCATTCCTCCCACCCTGAGGAGTCTAACGTACAGTTTGTGTAAAAGGCAAACTAATTCTGTTGACAGGTGCACATTGTGGTTGTGGGTTGAGAGTGTTGAGTGACCATAGTCAGCTGTAGACAAAGCTGCACTAATGAACAAATAAGTGGGACGTGCATGCTTGACACCACCTCCATTGTTTTCCTATGGTGGCTTTCTACAGAGTGATTTCCACAGATCAGAGCAGCTCTGAATGTTTCTTTAAAGAAATGTGCGATTTATATGTCAAACTTAGAGAAACGACAGCGTGGATTTGTGGTCACGAATCCAGAAATCTTGCAGAGATGCTTATCCACTCTTGTTTGACCTTTTCTACCTGACAAAAACCTTGTCATTCATTTCAAATGACAGAGAGAAAAAACAAAACTCAAAACCAAAAAAAAAGTACAACAGTAATTTCTCTCACAAGCATTTACAAAATTTACAAAAGTAAATCACAAATCTTGTAAAAATTCAGCCTTCTGCTGATT